AAGGGACCAGCCCGTGCAAAGGTCCTGGGGTAGGTGGGGCCTGAAGGGCCGGAAGAGGCCAGTGCGGCAGGAGTTCTGGAGTCCAGGAGCAAGAGGTTGCCTTTGCCCGAGGGCAATGGGCCCCTGCAGGGTCATGCCCGGCCCCAGGTGCAGGCTTGGGGTCCCAACACAGTCCCCCAGGTGCTCAAGGTGCTCGGATGGCAAAATGCTTGGGCAGCAGGTACTCGGTGGTGGCCTTCCTTCGCCGCTTTCTGCTGGTGACTTATAATTGCCATTTCCTTGTCCTCAGCAGAAAGAGCTCAGAAACGAAATTACCGTTTCAGGCTCGCTTCCCTGCGGTGGGAACTCCTGGTGCAGACCCGAGTCCCCTCCAAGCTGCCAATGAAGCTGACCGGCCCCCCACGGAGCTCTCAGCCCGATGGACAAACAAGCAGAATTACGAGGTCAGGGAGCAAAACGACATGGTGGGGACAGCCTGGTGGGGACAGCCGGGGTGGGTGCCCTCTCCCTGCGGGGACAACCGGGCAGACTGGGTGTGGCAGGAGCGCCCCAGGCTCCAGGAACGGCAAGTGCAAAGGCCTGGAGGTGCTCTGAGAGTCTGGGAGCACGAGCAGAGAGGTGGCAGGTGTGGCGGAGAAATGGGGACAGGAGGTGAGGGCCACAGAGCTGGGGCAGGGGAGAGCCCAGTAAGGAAAGGCCCACCCTAGGCGTGCGTTCATTCATCACTGTCACATTTGTTCCGAGTCACCGTTTTGCCTTCGTCGTTCACTCTGCGCTTTGTGAGCGCCCCCTCTCTGCCTGCCCCGCGGGGCCCCGAGTCCGGGTGGGGTCAGAGAGACGAGGAAGGCCACCGTGGGGAGCTGAGGTGGGTTCGGTGGCTGGGTCTGTCCGTGGCAGCCTGTGGCACCACGTCTGCGCAGAGTGGGGCTGTGTCCGTGTGGACCCGGCCCCCAGCGTTTTCTCAGGAAGTGCCGGGCCCAGGGAGCCACTCGGGGCCCCGGGTGCTGGGAGGAAGTGGCGTGGGGACCAGCAGGCACAAGCTGGGGCTGGGCAGGGGGCCACCCGACCCCTGGGAGAGGTTTGGGAAAGAAGCTGCTCTAGACAGCGGCAGAGGCATCCTTGCACCCCTTTCTCGTACAGATGGGAATTCTGAGGCCCAGAGAGGGGAGGGGACTTGCCCCAGGACACACAGCCAAGCCAGGAGGAGAGTCTGGCCTCCCGGCCACTTCTCCCAGTGACCTCTGGACACACCTTCCCAGAACCCGGAACGGATGTTGCTGTCTTCCCGGGCCTGCTCCTCACCCTGGGCCCCATCTCAGGACGGCTCCCGGCCCAGATGGCCGGCCACAGTCCCAGAAGCCACCCTCAGCTTAGTCCTTGCAGTCAGACTGGAGATGTGCCCGCCCAACACCTGGGCACAGCCACCCCTGCGCAGAGGGCCATGCTCTGCCCCCCCCCCCAGGGGCCCTGGGGGCCCCAGCCCCTCCCTGTTCCCATGCAGGCCCCGCCCTCTCCCCAGGCTCCTGCAGTGGCTTCCATGACATCCCCAGCACCCTGTCTCCTGGGAGGCCTTCCCCAAACAGAGCCTGCTCCCAGCCCGCCTCTGCTAGGCCTTCCTGCAGCTCCCATGGCCCCTGGTGAGTCCAGCCTCTTCGGCAGGACACGCCGGGCCTGCCTCGGTTGGCCCCTGCCCACCTGCCAGCAGCCCTCACCCCCACCCCTCACACTGCCGTCTGCAGCCACGAGGCTTCCCTCGGTCCTTCACGCTTTTGCCTCTGAGTTGTTCTCCTGCAGCTCTCTGCCAGGGATGCTCTTCCCCACCCACTTGTCCCCGCTACCCCATCCTCCTGCAGGGCTCAGCTGAGACCCGCCTCCTCCAGGAAGCCTTCCCTGACCTCTCCAGGCCGGGCTAGGCACCCCGCCCCACTCTCTCTGCCCGGTGCCTACTCTGATCACCCCGTGTCAGACTGTGCCTTAATCATTGGTTTATTCACTGGGCTCCCTAGTGAAGGGACAATTTCATCTTCACTCATCACTCTTGTCCCCTGTGCCCAGCCCAGGGCCCAAAGTGTAGGCTCGTAAATGTCCAGTGGCTGAATGAATGAATGAATGAATGAACATCCAGCCTGGGCTGGGCCCCTGGATTGCCTCCTTCCCAGTCCAGACTGGGCCCCTGCACCACCCAGACAGGGGACATTCTTTATTCTTTGGGACCCCCTCAATTTGGAGGGCCACCCAGGGCTTACCCACCCCAGGGCCCAAGGCCAGCCCGGGCTGAGCACAGCAGGGAGGCTGGGACAGTTGCTGGGCTGAGTGGCCATGTGCCTGAGGCCAGCCGTGCCGTGTCCCTTGGCCTGTCTAAGCTTGTTAACTCCTGGGGAGGAGATGCTATGTCAGGGCGACAGCTGAGGAGCCCCTTGTCAGCTCCCATCAGCTCCCTCTCCCGCCTGCCTTCCATCTAAACGTGCAGGTCTCCATGAGCTGTCACCTCCTCCGAGAAGCCTCCCTGCTTGCCCACTCCCTCCTGCAGTTCATCCTGGCCCCCGTCTGTTCCTTCTGTGGCTCTCACTGCGATCTGTCACTGTCTAGTTCATCAGTTTGTTTCCTGGGTCACTGCCTGTCTCCCTGATTCTCTGGGGAGCCCCATGAGGTCACAGACCACCCCCCGCACCATGGCAGCCCTAGTCTCCAGCCCAGGGTGGCACATAGCAAATGCCCCCTGAAAGAAGCTCTGGGGCCAGGCACAGGGGTTTGAATCCAGGCTCTTGCTGACTAGCAGAGTGGTCCTGGGCAAGGGCCGCCTCTGGCTGAGCCTCAGTTTCCCTGTCTGCAATATGGGGAAATACCACTACTTACCTAAACAGGTGGTGTGCTCAGCCCAGGTCTGGCCCCCACGAAGGCTCTCTGGTGGCGGCCTTGCCCTTGTTCAGAGGCACGGGACAGCAACCCAGAGGGTGACCACAATGCAGACAGGCGGGCTCGGGCCTGGCCGCAGGGTCCGGGTGGGGGTGGGGGGGCTGGCTGTGGCCAGCAACTAACTTCTCTCTTCCATGGTCTCCCACGCACCCTTGGCAGAACTGGGTTTCACTTACTGCGCTTGAAGCCCATCTGCAGAGTGGGTGACATCTCCCCTCCAGACAGAAGGAAGGCTGAGGCCCAGGCCCAGGCCAGACAGCACAGACCTACAGAGCCTCAGAGCCAGACGGGGCGTCCGCAGAAACTGCCCAGACTGGCATTCTCGCTGTCCGTATGGGGAAACTGAGGTGCCCCAGACACCACAGCAAGGCTGGGCCCCAAAGCTGGGCAGGGACCCGCTTTTTCCCTCCTGCGTGCCCCCAACTCTGGGCTCCAGCGAGGTTGCAGAGCTGTCAGGAGGGATCAGGCCTGTCTCCCCGGATTTAATTAACAGGCCTTTCATCTCTGTCCTGGAGGGATCAGCTATCTTCTGTCTTCTTAATTAACGCTCATTAAGCAAATCAGAACAACAGGGTTTTTCTCCCTCCTTTCTTGCCCTGGAAGGTTTTAACCCTTGGTAGGTGGGCTTCGGGAGGGAGCCCGCTACCTATGCTGCCAGCAGGAGCAGACGGCCAGGCCTCTGCGGGGGCTCCCCAGGGCCCCAGCGCAGGCACCTCCCTCATGGCCACACAGACTGGCTCCTCCCCACACACCACCTCCATGCTGGCCCCCTGGGCTCCACCTCCACTCATCTTCCTAAGGAGGAAACAGGCCCGGCACTCCGCTGCTCAAGAGCCTTCCCTGGCTCCCTGCCACCACTAGGACAATGGGCAGACCCCCGTCCTGTGCAGCTCACTGAGCCCTGAAGGGAATATTCAGGGACCTCTGATCCCAGACAGAGGTCTCCTGGGGGGGGGGCACAGGACCAAGGCTGTAGGTCCAGGAACTCCCGCCAGTGGGCCAAGGCCCACGTGAACCAGTACCAGCCGGGCCATCGATGGGCATGTGATCTGCCCAGGGGTACGGTTACAGGGACTGCCACCCAGGTCGGAGGGGCTGGACGGTGGTGGCCGTGGCCTCTGTGGGTTTCAGGTCATGTGTGTAGAGGGGCCCCCAGCGTCAGGGGACAGATGCCTTGCCAGGTGGTGGGCCTACTGCAAGGTGCCACCCCGGGCCTTCTCTTGATGGAGAGCTGGCATGCCTACTGCCGGCCGCGCAGCTCTTCCGCTCGCCTGCTCCAGCCCTTTCCAGCAGCTACAGAAGTGTTCGTTGGCCCTTTGTCACCCAGATTTGGGGAGCTACCCGGGGGCTTTGTGGCACACTTTGCTTCCTGGAATCTGTGGCCCCAGCCCCTCCCTGGACCAACCACAAGGATGGGAGAAGACTCGGTCACATCCTGCCCTGAACATGTGCCCAGAAAAGGGCTTCCCCCCTCTAGGCCTATGTCCCCATTGGTATGACCTCCACCCTGGACCCCGTGACCTTTCTAGGCCCGTCTTCTCATATCCCAAGCCACAGGGACGTGGGGGCAAGGATAAGAGCTGCCCCACCGCCCCCTCCACCCAGGGCCATCCCTTCTGTTTAGGCTGTCAGAACACAGCAGTCACTAAGACAGGCTCACGCCTGTAATACCAGCACTTTGGGAGGCCGAAGTGGGAGAATCACCTGAGGCCAGGAGTCCAAAACCAGCCTGGGCAATGTAGCGAGACCCCATCCCTTAAACCATGAAAAAAATTAGCCAGGCATGGTGGCACTTGTAGTCCCAGCTACTCAGGAGGCTGAGGCAGGAGGATCACCCGAACCCAGGAGTTGGAGGCTGCAGTGGGCTTTGATCATGCCACTGCACTCTAGTCTGAGCCACAGAGTAAAACCGTGTCTCGAAAATTTTATGTAAAAATCAAATAATAATAACAAAGAGTCTGAGAGGCCAGGGCCCTTTGGCCTCTCAGTGGAGGTGGAGAGGTCTGAGGCTGGGCAGTGTGGCCTGGGCCCCCCTGCGCCTGGGAGGCACCCCGGCTCAGAGTCCCCCCGGGGCTCCCCATCAGCCTGGCCGCTCTGCGCCCAGCACTCGCCCCAGCGGCGCGGGCACGGCTGGGGGCAGTGGGGACAGAGCCGGCCCTGCGCTGTCGCTGTCGCAGGTGCGAGGGCAGCGCGGCCCCACCTGCCCGGCGCGGGGCGGCTCCCACAGCGGCGCGGCCTCGGCCACCAGGGGGCGAGAGGGGCGTCCCGGTGTCGTGGCCAATGTCGCCACCTGGCGGCTGGCCATGGTGAGCAGGAGCCGCTGGACGCGGAGCCCCGGGAGGAGAAACCGGGAAGGTAGGAGGGCCGGGAGCCTGGGAGGGGACCCCTGTCCCCCTACCCCCGCAGACCTTGAAGGGGGTCCCCCCAGGGCTGCTGCCAGGCACCGCCCAGAGGCGTCTCAGCACCCGCAGGGCTGGAGAAGGGGAAGCGTGCCGGCGCAGGGAACCTCCCTTCTCCGGGGCCTCACTTGCCACCAGAAAAACCCACCAGAGGGGCAGAAGACGGCCTCTGCTCTGGTCCACCTCCTAAGTCTCAAGCGAGGACAAGCGACCGGCAGGACTCATTCGCTTCCAGAACCGCAGCTTCAAAAGCAGCCTGGAAGAGGAGCTCTTAGCACGCCAGCCTTGGGGGAACAGGGTGGCCCCAGAGAAGGAGGGTGGGACAGAGGCTGTCACTCCACTGTCACGCAGGTGGTGGAGACGGCTCAGGCCTGACATGGGCCAGCATGTGATGTGACTGAGGTCTTCTGCGGGGCTTTGCTCCCACAGCACAAGTTCCGTCTGCTCACTGCAAGCAAATGGATAGCAGCACACTGAGCTGACGCACCTGGGAGCGACCTTGGACTTTTCCCCCTCCACCACCTGGTCATAGGGACCCCCCCCAGGCTATAGGTGGGAGCTGAGGAGGAAGCATCAGAGTAGGTGTGACGAGGGGTCTGTTTCACTGGCTCACCCAGCTCACTTGTGCCCTGGACTGCCTGTGCCCAACCCGGATGTACCATGCCCAGTCCGTGTATGGTGGCTGCTGGGCCCTGCTCCACCCTGTGACTTAGTGGGTCTGACAACGCCCGGCTCTTGGTGGCAGTACTGACCACATGGTCATTGGATTCCCGTGATCACTCAGTCTCTGCAAGAGCCCGGTATCAGACCGGGATCTGCCCTTTGCACGGTGTAGAGCTCTCTGCTGGGCTTGCTGCAGAACCCTGGAGGTCGACATCGTGATTTTTTTTAGGGGAGCATCATAACATGGCTCTTTTCCCACCACAGACACCCCCAGCCCCGTGGGATCCGCTGGGCCACATGGCCTAGGAGGCGGCGCTGCCCATTTGAAGCCTGGAGCTGCCGCTTGGTCCTTTCCTACTCTGGGCACTGCTCAGAGCCAGCAGCCTTTCCCGCCCCCACTAAGTGGGCCAGAGAAGTGTTCCTAAGTGCAGAACATGCTGCTTCTAGAACCTAAAGAGGCCCACCAAGCATTGTGCTTCTTAGTGACAGAGAGACAACTTGTCCTTTTTTTTTTTGGAGGGTGTGATGGCTCACGTTATGTGGTTGCTTGGTAGGCCACGGTACCCAGGTATTTGGCCTAACACTATTCAAGATGTTTCTGTGGAGGTATTTTTTAGATGATATTAATTTAAAGAAGTACTTTTTTAACGAAGCAGATATACAATGTGGGTGGGCCTCACCTAATCAGTTGAAGGTATTTATAGAAAAAAAGACTGATCTTGAAGAAAAGAGAATTCTGCCAGCAGACTGCCTTTGGACCTGAACTTTAACTCTTCCTTGGGTCTCCAGCCTGCCAGCCTGTCCTGCAGAGTTTGGACTTGCAGCCCCCATAACCAGGTGAGCCAATTTATTAAACCTCTCTATTTTAATTGATTATTTTCTCTCTCTCTCTCTCTCTCTCTGTGTGATCTTGCAGAGATACATTCTGAGAAATGCATGGTTAGGTGATTTTGTCATCACGCGAACATCACCAAGTGTACTTACACACCTAGGTGGTATAGCCTACTGCACACCTAGGCTATATGGGACAGCCTGTTGCTCCAGGCAACAGACCTGCACAGCACATTACTGTACTGAATACTCTAGGCAAGTATAACACACTGGTATTTGTGTATCTAAACACAGAAAAAAATATGGTATAAAAGATTAAAAAAATGGTATACATGTACAGGGTATGAATGGAGCTTGCAGGACTGGAAGTTGCTCCGGGTGAGTCAGGGAGTGAGCGGGGAGTGACTGTGAAGGCCTAGGACATTGCTGTACATTAGACTTTATCAACACTGTACACTTTTATTTTAAAAATATTTATTTTAAAAATAATTGCACTACAAAGTTAAAACAGCTATGCTGTCAGTGGGGAATAGGAATTTTTCAGCTCTGAATTATGATTTTAATGGGACCACTCTTGTACAGGCAGTAGGTCGTTGACCAAAACATCATGATGTGGCATAGGACTGTGTGTTTAAAGTTAGCACCATTAGCCAATCCCTGCAAACTCCTTCCTTAGCAGGCCCAGAAGCTGCTCCATCAGGCCGTGCTGGCTTTAACCCTAGTCCCTGGATTCTGGCCGGGAGGGGAGGTGGGGCAGATTCCCGAGGAGGGCGGGAATCATGTCTTAGGGAACCTGCCGCATGTGAGGCTCCTGCGTACTCTCCAAACGATGGTGGAGGCCCGGTGAGCACTAGCCGCTGGGGATGGGAGACCCCTTTTGCAGGCCCAGAGCATTTTCTGGAATCTGGAGATTCAAGGTTCTCAGCATATGTACCCAGACACCACCCTGAGTCTCAAGGCCCCACCCCTTCCCGACCCTGTGGTTTAGGACACCTTTCAGGGGTGAGAGAGCAATCATCTCTGAAGTCCTGCTAATCTTACCATCAGATCCTGAGCCTAGTTTTCAGCAGGTTCCTCCCTGGGGCTAGGGTCGATGGTTCCTTTAACTGTTGCCAAAAGGGCCTCTGCATTTCCAACTTTGCTTTGCACTGGTGACTGATTACCGGAGCTGGCCATTTTCTCTCTTCAAAGCACCAGTGATGCCCAGCAAGAGCCACCCAATTCCACAGTCCCGTAACCTCTATTCCCTGTTCTCAAACACCAGAGATCACATGAACCAGTCACTGCCTCCCACCTGTACCCGGCCACGTTCACCGTAGGTGACAGTCTTATCCACTGCACTGTCACCGCATGCTGGAGACTATCAGTACCCCACCCAGCTTCAGTGATACCAGCTGGCTGGTGTCACGGTAGCATTATGACTTCCTGGACCCTAGGCATTTTTGCCTTAGTGAATTCCTTTATTCATTAAAAAATATTTAAAAATTATATTTTACTAGAGGGAAGAGGGTATGGAGAATTATCATTTAATGGGTATAGAGTTTTGGTTTTGCAAGATAAAAATGTTCTGGAGATGGATGGTGGTGATGGTTGCACGACATCGTGAATGTACTTAATATTACTGAACTGTAACTTAAAAGTGGTTAAGATGGTAAATTTTATGTTACGTGTATTGAACAATGAAATATTTTAAAAGTTATATTTGACAACTGCATTGATATAAAGACAAATGTATTAAAATCATATATTAAAACATTTTCTTCAACCTAAAAGTTCATTTTTCCCCCTTATGACTTTGAAATTAGAATATTTTTGTGGGCTCCTAAAAGTATTGTGGGCCACCACGTCTCCTGTGCCTAGTGGATGAATTGGCTTTGGGTGGGTGCACAGCCCAGCACAGGGCACCTGGGTGGGGCACCAACAGTCCGCTGCAATCACAGTCCTGACCATAAAAGGAAACGTTACTGAATAATCCTCTGCAACATCATCAAAACACAATGTGGGGCCAGGTGCAGTGGCTCGCTGTGATCCCAGGGCTTTGAGAGGCAGAGGCAGAGGATCACCGGAGGCCAGGAGCTGGATTACAGTGAGCTGTCACCGCACCACTGCACTCCAGCCTGGGGGACAGAGTGAGACTCTTGTTTCTAAAAAATGAAAATTAGAAAAAAAACAAACAATTTGGAATTACATTAAATTGATATTTTAACTTGGGGAGCATTTATATAGTTAAATAGTTGGAAACCCATGAATACAGATGCTGGTCTCTTTCTTCACGTTTTATGTCTGTCAGCAGAGTTTCATAATTTCCTTCATTTATATGTTGCATATTTCATGCTAGATCTATTATGAGGTATCATTTGTATCACCCTTGTGAATGGGAACCTTTTCTCTACTACGTTTTCTGAATTATTGCCGGCATTAGTTTTTGTACTTCACCCTACAGTCAGCCATCTTATGAAGCTCTTACTAATTCTAACAGTCTTCAGTAGAATCCTTTAGTTCTAGATGTATCTTCAGATAACTAGAAGTATTTAAATCTTTTATTACATTAGCTAGAACTTCCAAAATAATATTGAACACCAGTGGTTATATCATGGACTAACTAACTGTACTTGGGTCCATTTCTGGAACGCTGCTCCATGGATCTAGCCTAGTCCTTTCCAGAACCCCATAGTTTTAATAACATTTAAATACTGGTCGTTAACCACCCCACTACAATTAATCTTGTCTATCAAACTTTTGTTGACTGCTCTGCCCTCGTTTTGCTCCTTACCTCAATGGACGTGCCTTTGGAATGTCACTGTTGACGACGATGTTTGCTGAACAGCATGCTGTCTGTCATGTTCCAGAAGTTTATTTCTGTTTTGCTTAGAGTTTTTGTGGGAATGGCTGCTGAGTTTTATCAAATGGCCTTTCTCCTTCCATGTACTGGTTTTCATGAATGGGAGTGAAAAGGGGCGTCCACCGGGGAGAAGACGAGGTGGTGAGGGGACGGGGCGCACACACCAGGTCAGAGTCCCCGTTGAGAGCAGCGCACCGCCAGGGTTGGGGGACAGGAGGTGAGGAGCCGCCTCACAGCCCGCGGTGGGTGCACCTCATCCCTGGGAGGAGACAAGGTCCTTGTCCGCTTTCACCTCAGGACCTCAAGGCATCAGTGCGCCGCCGCCGCAGCCGGAGGGCGCGGTGACGAGCCCGTGTTCCCCGACGAGGCCGCGAGCGCGCAGCCGGGCGCCCCGCCGGCGGGGGCCGGCCCTCCCGGGCGCGTCCAGCGGGCGGGGAGCGCTCCGGCGCGGCCACTCCCCCGGCCTCCAGCGCCGTCGCGCCGCCCGCCGCCGCCCGCCGGGAGGGCCGGTGCGGGCGCCCACCCTCGCGCGTGGCCGCGCGGAGCTGGACGTCGTCGCTGCCGGCCTGCGGCGGCCGCGCTGCTGCTGCGCTGGCGCTGGCGCTGGGGGCGGCGCGGGCGACCGCGCGGCATGGCCGTGCTAAGGCGCAGGCGCCCGCAGCGCTGCCTGCCCGAGTTCGAGAACGCGGCGTTCGGCCGGCGCGCCGAGGCGTCGCACACGTGCGGCAGCCCGCCCGAGGACTTCTGCCCGCACGTGGGCGCGGCGGGCGCGGGCGCGCAGTGCCAGCGCTGCGACGCCGCCGACCCCGCGCGCCACCACGACGCCTCCTACCTCACCGACTTCCACAGCCAAGACGAGAGCACCTGGTGGCAGAGCCCGTCCATGGCCTTCGGCGTGCAGTACCCCACCTCGGTCAACATCACGCTCCGCCTCGGTAAGCGCGGGCTGGGGCACCGCACGCCGCCGCCGCCGCACGCCCTCCCCACCCCACCGGGGCCTGAGCTGCCGCGCGCCCCGGGTGGGCTGCGGGACCCCATACGGGGTACTCAGGCACAGGACTGTACCCCTTTGTGGAAGGACAGACTGAGCGTGCCCTTTGGGGCTGGAAGGGGCGGGGAGCCTCCCTGGGATCGGGGCGCAGTCACAATCCCCTGCAATGAGTTTCCAGCCCCTCGACCGTGGGGGCGGTCACACCCGGGAGTGGACGACTGGCCGCTCTCTAGGGCAGGGGCTGCTGACCTTGGGTGGGTCACCTGGTGGTCTTCAGGGGCCCAGTGGACCCCCGAGGCTACCTGCAGTCCTGGGGTGTGTTCTGGAGGGTCGGAGCTGAGAAGTTCATCCCTGAACAGGAAAAGTTCAGCCCTCTGGGCGGGAGGACCAAGTTAGGTAGCTGTTCCAGACGGCGCGGCCGCCTGTGCGCCCTGCCCAGAGTCCTTCCTTCCCTCCCCCTGCCAAGGTGCCCGAGCTCCCTGGGAATCCGAATCCGCAGTCCGGACCCAGCCCTTCCCCGGGGGGAGCTGGGGTGCTCCCCGCCCCGTGCCAGCACAGTGCCACGCACCTCTCCTGCTGCCGCCTCCATCCACAGCTTTGGGGGGAGGGGTCACTGGTCACACTCGCTTATCTGCCACAAGTCACAACCCCCCAAAGCTTTGAAAACTCAAAGTACTTTTATAACTCGTTTTTCACACTAAACCTGACTTGAGGCTATGTATAGGCTTAGTTTATCCTAGTGAAAATGAATATTCATACATTTTGCTGCTGAAATCTCATCTGAGTGCAGCCTGCAGCCCCAGACCCCAGTGGGGGTGTTAACACAACGTGTGGTGTAAGGCCTGCGTCATCTTTCTAAACTCTGCAAAGTTCTGAATCCCAAAACACATCTGGAGCCTAGGAGTTCGGATAAGGGGTGATGCTATTTATTGTATCCCCATGTTTCAGATGAGAAAATTGAGGCTCAGAGAGGTTAAGTGTTTTGGGCAAAGGCACACAGCTGCTAAACGACAGTCTAGACACGGACATGAGCGCCATCACCCATCAAACGTGTTGGCTCCTCCCAGGCCTGGGTGACAGCACCCTGGGAAGGGCTGGAAATGACACTGGAGGGAGAGGGGGAGGCTAATGAGCCCCCTCCTGTCTGCTGCCACCCTGAGAAGCTCGGTTCCCCAGGGCCGTGTCACCTTCTCTTGGCCTATCTGGACCACGAGGTAGGGCTTCTGGATGGGGTGAGGTCTCCACCCAGGCAAGGGGGAGGGACAGGAAGCCAGTGGGGAGGGGAGAGGCTGGGGGAGCCGTCTGGATGGGGCTGGCAGGACCCCAAGGCCACAGGGGAAGGAATCTGGGACAGGGTGGAGGGTGGCGGGGGAGACACACTGTTCCATAACAGAGTGTCACATGTGTCAGTGGAACCCAGGGGCTCGGGAAAGGGGCTCAGCCAGGCACAAACAAGGTGGGAGGGGGTGGAGGAAATGTCCAAGTTTGGGGACTTGGGACAGTTCCCATCCCCTGAGTGCTTACTGTGTGCCGGGTCCTGAGTTTGAGCTGCGCAAACTGGTTGAACTCCTGGAGGAGAGAAGCAGGGTGGTTGTGATCCTTCTGTAAGCCCGAGCTCCCAGGGACCCGCACCGTAAGTGTAGGGAAGATATCACACACACGCACACACACACACGCACACACACACACACACACGCACACACACACACACGCACACACACACACACACACGCACACACACACACATGCATGCATGCACACACGTGCACCCCCCCCGCATGTGCCTTACCCCCGGCCAGTGTTCTTTCCCTTATGTTGTACGGCACCAGGCACACAAAAGCGAGTCCAGAAGTGTTTGCACAATGAGCAAAGAATGAATGAATGACGGTGTCACCTCCTGCATTCCGTGCTGTGTCCGGCTCGGGGTTCTCTTTTGCCTGCTCTGGGAGGCAGAATGGGTTAGAGATCACAAAAGGGGGCTTTGGACTCAGGCCCAAGCAGAGCCACTCACTGGGTAAGCAATGTCACTTCTCTCTGCCTCGGTTTCCTCATCTGTACCATGAGAATAAGAGTCACCACTTCCTGGGTGGTTGTGTGTGTTCCGTGAGCTCACGTCGGAGCTGTGACAGTCCTTGTGTGTGACTAGCGTCACTCTGCTGAGGGCAGCTCAGGGCTGGGGCTCCCCTGGTCGGACTCTACCGGAGGGATTGGGAAACGCCCTCCTTGGCCAACCCCACTCCCCAAAGACATCTGACCCAGGGCCCTGTTTACGCACGAGAGGTGCTAGGGGCTCACGGCAGTCCCAGATTTGGCCCCTTTTGGTTTCCTGTGACCTAGGTTCGCTCCAGGCCAAGCCATGGCTTGCATAATATTGGGGAAAGGCGCGGGCTGGGGCTGTCGGTGTCCCCAGTGGAGGCCCCGATCGTCTGAGGTGGCCAGGGAGCTCCTCCTCTTGGTCCTCAGGCCACCTCTGCTGGCTCTGTTCCCCTCCCTCCCTCGAAGGCTCGTGGGAGGGGAGAGTGGGTGGCTGGCTCTGGCCCCAGGTCCCCCAGAGGGATCGGGATGAGGGGCGGGGGGAGATGGAGGTCGAAGGATGGAGGTCGCTGCTTTCCCAGCCCCCTGCCGCTCCCGGACATCTGTTCCAGAGCCCCCGGCAGAGCCAGCCTTCCTGTCTGGGATGAAAGGCAGCAGCGGGGCTGGCAGTTCCCAGCCCTCCACCAAGGCCTGGGACGCCTCCGCAGTGGGGCCTGGGGACGAGGGAGTGGGGGGCAGTGGACGGTCGTCAGGGTGACGGGGTTGGAGAGAGAGTGGGGCAGTGGGCAGGCGTCGGGGTAATAGACTGTTCACCATGTGCCAAGCACTCGCTGAGTCACATCCCAACCTGGCATGGTTGGTTCTTTTACAGATGGGGAAACTGAGCCTCTAAGGATGAGATTGGTTGCCCAGGGTCACACAGGCCAATAAATGGTGGCCCCTGGGCACCCTCCTCTCACTGTGCCTCACTTGGAAATGGACAGTGTCCAGGGCAGGCTGGTCCACATGCTTCAGGCATGGGGAGAACCCAGTCCGGGCTTTGGTGGGGTGGGGGGAGTCCTTCCTTCCTGCCTGCACACTTTCCTGGGTTGCTGGGAATCTCCTGGGACCCCAGAAGGACCCCGATCCCCAGGCGAGTGAGCTCTGAGCCTGGAGCCGAGGATGCTGCTGCAGGTGGACTCCTGCTGCCCCACCTGCCACCCTCATGTCCGGGTTCCTTCGTGTGCTCATTGGCCATGGGGCCGTGGCTGTGAGCAAGACCACACACAGGCCCTGCCCTGCAGGGCTCAAGGACCCCAGCAGACGGCCTGCCTCGGGGAATGCCGTAGATAAGCATTCGTGCACCGAGGACGCGCGCTGGGGTGCACGAGCCTCTCTGGAGGTCAGGCAGGGCCTCGATGAGACCTGAAGGGTGGAAGGAGCTGCCCAGAGAGGGAAGGACATTCAGGCCGGGGGACACGGAGACAGCACGGGGAGGCAGGAGGCAGCATGGTATGTTCTGGGCCCCACTGGGCCTGGGTGGCCCCAGTGCAGGGACAATGACCAGGGGGCCCGGCCAGCCACAGCAAGGAGCTGGGCCCAGTAGGGGCTGGACCTCGGTCATGGGGACCCCAGCCCCCAAAGGGCCTTGAAGCCAGCTGGGCTCCACTGCGTCTTCCTGCCGAGTGGGCGGCCTTGTTTGCCTTGGCCGGGGCCAGCGCTGGGGCCAAGTCCTCCTTCCTTCTCCCTGGGGTTCTGGCTGGAACGCTGGGCCCAGGCAGGTCAGGGGATCAAGGCAGTGGCCGTGGCTGTCCTCCATCCACCCACAGATCTGGTCCCCCCAAGGCCTTGGCCACCTCTCCCACCTCCCTGGGCCTCTGAGGACTAATCCAGGAGTGGCAGGGGTAGAAAACGCCGGAGCCCAGGAGGGGTGTAGGCAGCCTCCCGGGGCCCCCAGCACCCAGATCGTCCCTGTCCACCTCCCCCTCTGGCTGCTGTGAACTGCCTTGCAGCAGGGCCATCGACTAGCCACAATGGGCGCTCGTTCTGCCAGATCTTTGCATATGCTGTCACTTCTGCCTGGCACGTTTTCCCTTCCTACCTTCTGCTAACCCGTGTCTCATTCCTAAACAAAATGACTGCGCCCGCAGCGTGCGGTCCCTGTTCCGAGCCCTGAGCATGCGGGTACCTGTCCAGCCCACTCAGCTCAGAGGTGACCTCCTCCAGGATGGGGCAGGGGCCCGCCTATGCATTCTGGCAGCCCCTCGCCCTCCCCCGGGTCTGGATCACACTGTGCTGAGGTTTGGTTTGTTCATGTCCATCCCCAGCTCTGAGCTGCCGGAGGGAATGCCTGCTTTGTGGCCGCACCCCACGCTCAGCACTGGCCCGCTGCTCGGGGTGCGGGCAAATGTTGGTCTGGGAGCGAATGGAACGGCAGCTCGAATTTTGTCCTGTGCGTGCTCCATGCCTGAGACTGTTCCAAGTGCTTCACAGGCATTTGCTTGCTTAGCTCCATCGTGGTTATGTCCATTTTGCAAATGGGGAAACTGAGGTGCTACACTGAAGTCACCTGCCCAGGTAAGCCAGGGAGGTCATGTATTTTGACCAAGACCACAGGGCCAAAGCAGGGCTATGAACCCAGCATGCCCTGGCCACCCCACCCCTCCTCCCTGGGAGCACGGCAGCGAGTGAGGATGTGTGGCTCAGCCCTCCCTGGCCTCGCAGACGCGTCCCGCACTGCTGAACCGTGGCATCCTCAGCAGCCTTCCCTCCCAGCCAGCCCTCGCCGGCAGTGGTGCCCGCACCCATCTCATGCCTGGTTTTGCCTGTCGGAGCTGTGGTCGGCATTCAGGGCTCCACCTACACCTCCACCTACACCGCCCTGGCCCAGCCTCCCACCTGAGCCTTTGACTGGGTAGTCCGAGCAGTCTC